AAATTTAATATTTTTTCACATTTTTCAATGAACTTTTAAACTAATATTATATAATAATATCAAATAATTAATAAGTAAAAGAAAAACAATCATAATAAATTTAGTGATTAATTTTAAAAAGTTAGCAAATTTTTAAAGTAATTCATAAAAATAATTTAATATTTTTGTTGATATCATTTTTATTCCTTTTTTTGCCCTTTTTCTAAAATTCTTTTAATTATTTAAACTTTTTACTTTTTAATATCATAATACTCTTTTTATATTACCTCAATGCAGTTTAATATATTTTTATTACTTTCACCATACTCTTACCAGTTTTTACTATACTATTTGATTTCATTATATTTAGTATATATTTAACTTCGCTAATTGTCGTGCAATTTTTTGGCACACTTTATATACTAGTAATATTTCTTAATTTCTTGTGCAATTTTATTTATACTTTTTATTATAGAAGAAACGTGTGAAAATTCAAGAAAATACTGACTCCGATGATGATAGGTCGATCGCCTCTTTAAAAAAAGTATTCGTTATTTTATAAAATAATGAAATAATATTTTTTTCATGAATTTTTTTGAATAAGTCAATTTATTTTTTTATGAAACTTATTTATGCAAAAAAAAATTTTTGCAATATTTTATTGAAATTTTTTTTAATAGAATGATGATTTGTTATCAATTAGTTAGAAATTTTTTAGTTTTACTGTAAAAATGATAATTCTTTTGTTTATTAACTTATATATTTTTACATTATGAAAAGAACACGAAAAAACCTAAAAAAGAAGTAAATATTACTGATAAAAAGGTATTATTGATTTGTTTTTTCTTAATAACTTAATTTTAACTCACTTCTTTATAAACTTTAGTATACTATATATATATTAATGCAATATTCCAATAACTAAAAGGATTTATATTAGAAAAATTATAGATGGATAATTTATTAACTATTAGAAATTTTATTTTTTAAAGTTTGCTAACCAATTTTTTATGAAAATTTATAAATTCATTACTTTTTTTTTCAGTTTATTAAAAGATTAATATAAAATAGTTTATTGATTTTCTTATAATACTTGAAAAAATTCAGTTTATACAAATTTGTAAAAGTTAAACGATATAAAAATAATTGTTGACAATTTTTTAATAAAAGTTTATTGCATAAAGTTGCTGGATCCATTACTGTTTGCTCTCTTCAGACGCAATTAAAAATCTCCTTCATATATATTGAAAGGATATATAATATAAACCTTTACAGTTTCATAATTTTCCTATTAACTCTTATAAAGGACGTAAAAGTTTCGTAGTTTATATAAGACCTACTATAAATATTCAGTTTATAAAAAAATAATTTTTAATAAATAAATGAAAAAGTACAAAAGTGGCCTTTAAATTGAATTTATAAATACTTTACACAAATTTATCGAAGAAAATATTAAAGTTAGATTTACTGTTTAACAATTTTTCCATAAAATTATTGAGGAGACAAATTTTGGGGGTAACAAACAAATAAAGAAAAATTTTAAAACGAACCTCTAAAGTTTAATTTTCTTTAACTTTTTTATAATAAAAATTATAATAATATTTAATAGTTTTTTAGAAATTTGAGAAAATGTTATTGTTACCAGTCAGTTTTGAGTATGTTAAGTATTTTTGAGCAAAGATAAAGAAAGTTTAACGAAATAATTTTTATACTGTTTATGAAATTTTTTATATAAAAAAATTTAGCATAAAAAAAAATATTAACTTCTAGTCTTCCTCAAATTTCTTAGAATCATTATGCTTTGTAATTTTTGTTATGTATTTATTTATTTGCTTTAATAATTATTTGTTTATATTTTTAAAATTAATAGTAAACTTCATTTAAGAATCTCACCGTTATTAATTTTTGGTAAATTCATAAAAAATTATTTACCCAATCAAGCTTTGAAGATAAGAGTCAGTGACAAATAGTATTTTATAAAAATAAATATATTTATGGTTATATTTTAGTAAATATATATAAATTGTTTTTTTCAGCTATGGAAAATAAAAATAATCGAGTATGTAAAAGCTATCAGTGATTTTCTTTAATATTAAGTAAAAAAGCAGTTTATATAAATTTTTTATCAAAAAAAATGAAAAGTTTAATTGGAATTATTTCTTACGCAGCCCAATGAAAAAAAGGAAACCGAACTACAAAGAAAAAGAAGGGAAGAGAGAGAGAGAGAAGAGGCAGAACGTTGCAAGTGGTGGGAACTGCAAGTAGTGGACGGTTTACAAGAGGGCCAGCGATGGAAGGTCTTCTTAAATAATAGATAGAATAGTATCATTAGTTGTTTTTGTCCGTAATTATTATTATTCTAATAGTTTTTCTTACAGTTGTCTTAATAGGTTAATTTTTTATTTTTTTCTCTCGTATTATATTTACTATTGATATTAATATCGTCTATCTTATATTAATCCAGTTATCTATTACTATTATTATCAGACACTCTGGCACAACGCTCCTATGCTTGCCCCCGAATACAAACCTTTTCCTTCCCACGTGAAACTTATATACGATGGTACATAAAAAGTTCCTCCCTTCAGGGCTCAAGCTCTAGTTACTTTTATATTGTCATTACTCTCAAAAATTTTTTTTAGGTCTGCTTATATTTATAGTTAATATATATATATATTTAATTGTATAAATATTGTAAATCACGTGCTTTATAGTCACGTTACTTTGTACCACTGGCTTTACTAAAATATTTATTTAGGTGGTATGAAAGCCCTATTTGGGTATTTGTTAGGTTTCATATATTATTTGATATTTTTTTGTCTTCTTTAAGACATTCTCTGTCCGATTATTTTTTAGTAGTAAAAAACTTTTTTTTTACGATAAGTAGTTTGAATAAAGCTCACGGCTATTGAAAAAAGTTTATGCACTTAATGGGAACAATATAAACAACTTAGCGACTTAATAGGAGCCAATAACATTTTTGGAACTGCCATTTTGCTGTTTATTTCGCACACGTCTGTTGACTTTTCTTATATTTCTATTGGCTAACACATCGTATTCTACCTCCAGTTCTTCCTTCAATCTTTTATATATTAATAAGATATATATTGAATTTTTAATAATAACCAACAAAATGATATATTTTGTCTTTCCTTATTAAAATATTACTACTAAGAAAATTTAACTTGCTCCATACTTTTTCGTAAAATTTAAAACTTACATTATTTACTCTGCTGCAATTACTACTTTTTGATCTATATAAAGGGTCCAAAGTGGATCTGACCCCCGAGACGGAGGAAGTGGCCTCCTTTTATGCGACGATGATTACCACGGACTACTCCGCCAACCCCGTTTTTGTTAAAAACTTTTTCAACGACTGGCGAACTTTTATGACTCACGAAGAAAAAAAATTAATCAAGTCCTTTAAGAAATGGTTGCTTTTCATTATGATTGTCACTTTTTTAATTATTATTATTATTACTCTATAGTGATTTTTCTTTGATGGTAAAATATTTTGAAGAGCAAAGAGAACTTAAGAAGGTTTTTTTTTAATGAAAATGGAGTACATTTTATTACTACGGTCATTATAGAATTTGACTAAAGAAGAAAAGGAAGCCTCAAAGAAACTCAAAGAAAGGGAAATTGAACTTCATGGCTACGCCATTGTGGATGGCTATAAAGAACGTATAGGAAACTTCAAAATTGAGCCTCCGGGTTGGCTACTTTCGTTTCTGGGCTATCTTCTTATATACGCTACCTTTTTCCTATATATTTTTAAAATTATAGTTATATTTTTAATTGTGTACTATCCTCTAGTTTTAGGTTTTTTAAATGCTATATCAACTCTTTACTTTCCTATCGTCTCTTCAGGATTATTCCGAGGGAGAGGAGACCATCCCAAAATGGGGCTCGTCAAAAGGCGCGTGCTTGCTAAGGACATCACAATAAATATTGGACCTGGCGAGACCCCGCCCCAACCGCCACCGGGCCAACAGTGGAAGCAAGTTATTCACAATGACAAGGTAAATTGATTTATTATTTTTTACAATTCATTACTGTTATTGAGGTAAACAATATTACTGGCGCCAAAAAGGTTAGTCACGACGATTTAATTTTTGTTTATCTCCTTCTTGGCTTTGAAGTTAGTTACGCTTTTTCCCTTAACAAGGTCACGTGGTTGGCTCAGTGGACTGAAAATATCCAACAAAATGTGAAGTATGTGATGTTGAACGCCAATAGCAGAATGAAAGGGGAAAATGACTTGAAAAAATATGATAAAGCACGTGAATTGAAAGTATTATTATTCTTATTATTACTTTATCACTACTATTATTCTTCTTTTAAGGGGTACATCGATACTATTCGTAAAAGTTATGAAATAGATTTGAAAGACAAAAAGATGGAGGTCCGCCAGAGAGCTACTGCCCTCTACTTTATTGATCGTCTGGCCCTTAGAGTAGGAAACGAAAAGGTTCATTTATTATTATTATTATTATTACTATTATTATTATTATTATTATTATTATTATTATTATTATTATTATTATTATTATTATTATTATTATTATTATTATTATTATTATTATTATTCTTTCGTCACAAACTTTATTAATTTACAGCTGTATTATTAAAAAATTATATAATAATGCTATTATAGAACGTTGAAGAGGAAGCAGATACGGTTGGCTGCTGCTCGCTTAGACTTGAGCATATTGATGTCGTTTACTATCATCATTTTTTTTTAAAATTCAAATCGAATTTTTACAGCTAATCGATCCGAACCAAATTAAGTTCGATTTTCTCGGGAAAGACTCGATTCGATACGTCAACACTGTTTCGGTTCCGGAACAGATTTATAAAAACGTGAAGATTTTTATGAAGCAGAAAGAAAAAAGCGATGCTTTATTTGACAGACTTACTGTACTTTTTCTTTTTTTTATAATACTTTATAGCTTTTCTCTTTGCTTCTAGAAAAAGAGTTGTAAAAAATTGTAGAAACTTCTTTCATATGATACTTTTTAAAACGGTGGACACGTGTATAAATATATATAACAATCTCAAAGGCTCGAATCCCTATCAACTATTTATAAACTTCTTATCATTACTATTAAATTTTTTATAATTTGTATTAAAGTGTAAAATTTATATATTTTTCAGGTTCCGGCTCTCAATAAACATTTGCAAGAGTTAATGCCTGGCCTTACCGCCAAAGTATTTCGTACGTACAACGCCTCCTTTACTTTGCAAGAGGAGCTCGATAAGATAAACCTCAAAAACCCTTCACGTACTCCTTTTGTTGTTACTATTTTGTTTTTAATAATAGAACGTTGTGCTTTCTATAATCCTTTTAGTTCAAGAAAAAGTTCTCGCCTACAACCGAGCAAACAGAGCCGTTGCAATTTTATGCAATCACCAGCGAGCCGTACCGAAGGGTCCTTCTTTTGTATTTATTTATTATTTATAATTATTATAATATTTAAAGGTTTTGAAGTGCAGATGGAAAAAATAAGAAGCAAAATAAAGGTGTGGAAAGCAGAAAGAAAAGAACTAGAAAAAGAGTTGGAAGAAGCAAAAACTTTAAATAAAGTTGTATTATTAATTTAGTGCTTCGCTTGTGCTGGGGGTTATGAGCTCGTTATTTCTAGGAGAACGTCGTCACTAAAATACAAAAGAAAATCGGACTTATTAAAGAACGCATTCGGAAAAAAAAAATAGAAATGACTAATAAAGTCTTTTTCATTCTCAATAACTATTTATTATCATTACTTTCTCTATTAATATTGTTTATTATTATTATTATTACTATTATGTTTAGACTTATGATGTTATAGATTAATGATACTTTGATAATTAAAGTATTTTTTCAAAAAATTGCAAATAAAGCATTTTTTATTAATACTTTCGTTCATATCAAGTTATAATTACCTTAAATAGTAGTTACTATTAAGTGTTACTGTCTAATGCTTATCATTATTATAAATAATATTTAGAATGAAAATAAAACTGTAGCGTTGGGGACTTCCAAAATTAACTATATGGATCCGAGAATCACTTTTGCTTGGTAATAATTAGAAGTTTTTTTTAACCTTATGCCTTTCATATTCATTTATAATTTTTTTTAAAAGGTCGCAAAGTTTGCCAAACCTTTTTATAAATTATAAAGAAATAATTTAACTTAAATACAAATTTTTTTTAATATCCGCTAAATTAAATTTTATTACTTACAATAAAATTTTTCTCTTTATTTCATTGTATAAAATTATAACAAAAAGGTAATTGATAAAAGGTTTTTTTTATTTTTAAAAAATTTTATTACTTGTAAATTTTAAAAACTTGAAGTCCACCATAAAGTCGATACTTAAATTCTTTAGTTATTTGTATAATTATATAAAATAATAACTTTTCACAACTTTTTATCTTTCTTTAAATTCACTTTTATAATTAAAAAATTAACAGAATCAGAACAAGTGTCACTTTTTTTAAGCAATTATATATTTTTTAACTTCAACCTTTCTATTTATAATTTTTTTTCTTATATACTGAAGGTGCAAAAAAAATGAAGTTCAAGTCGAAAAAGTATATTCTAAAACTAATCGTGAGAAGTTTTTATGGGCCGCGTGCGTTGATTCGAACTTTCGCTGGTAGTCACTGGACTCTTGATTGGTTTTATCGAATTTGTTAACTTCTAAATATTCAACTTTGTTATGAACTTGTCTCTGCTCAGTTAGTAGTTTAAATATAATAAATAAAATTATTATGTTGACTGCATTTATCTAAAAATAAACTTTTAGTAAGCTTTATTATCTAATTTCATTATTTAACTTCCTAGTTGCGTTAGACGGTAACCTAGATTTTATAAATTTCAATTTAACTAGAGTTATCTTTTTTTGCATAAAGAAACAAGGTCTAATTTTTTAAGCCGCTTTAAAAAGTTGCGCTTAATAAAGTAACAGGTATCGTTAATTGTATATGAAATAACAAAGTTAAGTTTTATATGGCGGGCAAAAGGCCAACTGACGTATCGAATTAATCTTGTTAGTACTCGTTATGAGTTCCTTCTGTCGTAAGGCAGTACTTCATTCCTTGCCGTGTTGGAAATCTAACGAATTATAGCAGACTATTCCGGAGCTGTCCTCTTTCTCTTCAATATAAATCGTTCCCTTGATTTTGTAAGTGACATTAAGCCTCTCAAGGTAGAAGTTATTTCTTGTGAAGGGTTCGGTGAAAGGATATAAGTTTTGTAAGAGAACTTACACTTTGTCTATAGATCCCCCTAAAAACCTCTGCCTTATTATATAAAAAACGTATGACTTCTCTTTGATTTATTAAAGTTCACATAAGATAACTGCCACAAAATTACCAAAAAATATTTTTTTAAAAAAATAAGACTTCAAATCCCACTTATATGATAACCGTTAAAACGCTGTTAAAATAAAAAATTGCAAGAAACCTACAAAATTTACTTTGCTGTAAAGTTTTATTTTAGATATAATTTATCATAGATAGCTCGTTAATTGAAAGCCAACAAGTTACGTTATTCTTATAAAATTCACTAAGCCACATAATGTTTTAAAACATCTAAACACTAAAATATACTTTGGTCATAAATCCCTTGGCTTTCGTGGCTCTATCGTAACAAAAACCATAAAAGCAAAGCTAACAAGCCGCTTATAGGTCGCAGTAGGGTTAATTAAATCGACAAGGTTTTTGTTATGTAAACCCCGACGGCCGCCCCAGTCAACTAACCAGCCAAGTTTCCGCCCAACTCCTATGACTGCTCTGGTATACCCACGAGGAGGATGGGCGAGGCTGCTACTACGTTTTTAATGAAAAACTTTTAAAAGAGTTTTTAGAGTGGCCCGTCGTTTTACTACTCATTCATCTTTGCAATTCTTTTTATATTAAAAGTTTCATACCAAACTAGTATAATTTTTATAATAACAGGAAGATTCTGTCCTTTTTTTAACATATTCTTATTAGTTTTAAGCACAAAAATGAGCTTTCGAGGTGGTTTTTCTAGAGGTCGTGGTAATTATGGTCGAGGTGGTTTCTCTAGTAGAGGGAGAGGATCCAAGGGATTAGAGCAAGGGTCTCCAGATTCTGTAGTAGGTTATTATCATAAAGTTTAAATGTTTTTATTTCTTTTATTTGTTTATTTCTAAACCTTTATTATTTTTGCGAGTAAATCCATTTGTTGTAGTGATCGGAAGTTTTCTGCAACCCTGTGAAGCTGACATCGTTTGCAAATCCCTTAACGAAAAAATACCATTTTTTAATGCGCCCATTTACCTTGAAAACAAAGTTCAAATAGGTAAAGTGGATGAGATATTTGGGCCAATTAATGAAGTGGTAAGCTATGCTCGCTTTTAACTATATTTCTGTCCTTACTTCCTTTTATTATTGCGTTAACCAATAGTGTTTATTACTATAGTACTTTTCCGTTAAGCCCGCAGAAGGCATTATCGCAGCCTCGTTTAAGGCGGATCAAAAGTTTTATATTGCTTCCGACAAACTTCTGCCTTTGTCTCGCTTCTTACCTAAACCAGCCGCTCTAAAAAAGGTAGGCGCTGTTAAAAAAAAATCCAGTCGTCCTTTAAATCGTGGTGGCGGCGGAGCGCGGAACTTTGGTCCCTTCAACACACGGGGGAAATTTAGAGGCGCCGCAAGGGGAGCGCGTGGGGCATTTCGTGGTCGCTCTAGAGGATTTTCAAGAGGATTTTAACTTTATATATGTGGAACTATTTAATAGGCGTTGAAGGAAGGAAAATTTAGGGGGTGAAAATTTTTTATTAGTTCTTTTCTTATATACGTATAATGATGCGACGAAAATGTACAATAAAGCATTGTAATATCGCATTTAGCTCATTTTGGTTTTTTAATTTATAAATTTAAGAGAAAAAGAAACTTAAAAGAGGATTTATAACAAAGATTCTTCTATACAGCGGAACGGTCCGCTGTTCTCTTACGTTTTATGCTAGACCAACCCTTTACAGAGTGTTTTTTTTTCGTTAGGGTTCGTAATCACTCTGTCCAAATCTTTTCTTTAGTCTTTATGCTTCTCCTCTACCATCTTCCGCTTAAAATAAGGTATCTCAAAAAATTGCTGAGTCATATGTTCTACAGACTTGGAAGCGTCGATCCTAAAGGTGCTGGTAAACAGAATAATCAATTTAAAAAAAAAGGCAACGAGTACACGTAAACAGGAAGCCCGACTCGAATAAAATGTGCTCGAAGAGGTTCAATCGCTGTGCGGTACACGTGCAGGCGTTTTGAAATAACGTCTCGGTTGTCGTCTATTCTAATTAAAAAGGAAAAAAGGGATTAAAGTAAATATTAAAAAAATTCACAGGAAAAAAAAAAAAGGAACCTTCCGCTGGAAAGTCCGCGATTCAAAAGCCGCGTCACGAGAACTTCGTCCGATACGTCGAGCCACACAGCACACTTTCATTAAGAAAAGACCAGTTTAGGATAAAATAAGTAAATATTTAAAAAAAATTTGAAACCTCCGGAACTCCGCAAACTGCGTAAAAGTCAATCGCATTTTGGACGGATCGCGGAAATCCATCAACAAACACGTGCTTTCCTTCAGTACAAGTGAACGTCTATTTTATCATGGCTTAAAGTGAATTATGCCTGGCAACTTCTGAAGTGTATCGCGCAAAAGTCGAATAATAATGGCAGAGTCCACTAACTTTCCATCCCTCATAACTGTAAAGTTAATAATAAAGAGTAAAAATTACTAGACTCTTTAAACAATGATCTGACTTACTTGTTTAACAAAGTACGAATTATTTTCTAATTTATATTTTCTTAACTAAATTTCTTTCTCAATTTTTTATATAAATATAAAAAAAAATACAACCTTCTTCTACATGTACGCCTAATGGAGTCTTAAATTCCATTTCTCTCCGCTACAAACAGATTTTATAAATGATTAGTACTCTATTAATGAGAAGTTAAAAAAAACACTAATCTTTAAAAAAATAATACTTTTATAAAAACAGTTGAATTGCAGGTATTTAATTCTAAGTTTATTTTAAGTTATAAATACTATTTTTCAATAGTTTATCAATCTGATAACCTCCTTTGTAAAGGAATAATTCGATAAAAAGAGTATATCGCTAATAGAAGTATAAATTTTTTTTTTAGTACTAAATTCTTATAATAGACAATTAATAAAAAACTTAAAGAATATAATAGGTTATATCTAACTTGAACAAGAAAAAAAAATTAACAAAAATAGTATAATTATAAAAAAAGAAACTTTCAGTCCATAAATATTAAAAGAAAATCCATTATAAATTATCGCAATTAGAAATTATTAAAATATAAGTTTAGCGTTATTTCATATTTATAAAAATAGCAGCACAAAACTTCGAAGTATGTTATAAACCATTAAGTTAACTAAAGTATTGAAAAAAAAAACTTCTTTAATAAAAATACTTCACACATGACTATACAGAACTGTTTATCTGCATATTAAAAATTTAAAAATTATAGAAAAACACCAAAAGATCTCCGATAGAAACATGAGCAGAATTTATACGTTGAGAAATTTCTTGGTAAAGAGTGCCTTTTCCTAAAAAAAATATCTTATTTTCAACTAATAAATAAATAAAATTTACATGCACAGTCACAACAGGGAAAAGAAAGAAACAAAAAATGTCAAAGCAGTTTAAAAATAACTAGTAATGACATCTATAAAACTGCGAAATAGATACATAAAGAGGTGTAATAATAATCTAAACACATAACGTTAAGTAATATATGTATTGCTTAATAGATATAATACTAATTTGTTGTCAAATATATATTACTAGTGATAAAATAAACTTAATAAGTCAATTTAAACAAGATATAATTAAAAAAAATAAATGTAACAATAAAAGTAACATGTATATATTAGTAAAAACTTTGCGTATAAGCATAAAATGGTTTTTACTAGGCTTTTAAGCGAACAAGCGAAGAAAATCAGGCAAACACAACTTTGCGCTGGAAAGACTTTACTTTTCCATTAACAAATAAAAGAAGAAAAGCCGCTGATCTGGAGTTAAAGCGAAAGGGGCTTATAGTCGCTAGAGCAGATTGGCATAAAAAGAATACAAAAGTGCGTTTGTGGGAACTGCTAACCAACAAATTACTAATCCCCCAATAAAGTATTTAAAGACACCAAACATTTCACTTTTATATATACCATTCAACGAGCTCCTATAAATTTTATAGCATTACTTTCGTAAGTCTTATTTTATATATATAAAATAAGTTTAAAAAATTTAAAGAACGACAGCTTAAATAAAATAAGGAAAAGTTTTTTTAGAAGTTTTACAATAACAGCAAGTAAATATATAATATAAATCTATGTACACCTTTAAAGACAACGCACAAGATCATACGCTGGAATCTAACTCTAACCCTTTGAAAAAAAATATTATAAAAGTTGAGTGACTTACCCAAGGAAAATAAATATAATAATACCAAAAAAATTACTTTTTTTATTAACTTGAAAAAAATCTTAGTGATGAGCAAGATTACAGTAAATTAAACAATATATAGAATTTTAAAATTAATTAAACAGTAAAAATAATAAACACCAAGGAAATTCACAAAAAATATTAATAAGTTATTGGTCAAACAGGTGTAGTTACCGCTACCAGGACCACCGATAAGGAAGATCACGCGGTAACCCGTGCGGAGTCGCCAACCCACGAGTCCATCCTTGATCAACAAACAAAATTCTTTAAAAGAGATTTTTTCCGTTATTGTCCCGATCCGCAACTTTAATAAGTCCCTTAGCGTCCTACAACATTATAGATTGAGTGTTTAAAAACATAAATTACAACAAAATTACTAATAATACTATATTACGCCAACATTTCCAATACTGCGGTTGATATAGATATTATACGTAATAACGAGTGAAGCAAAAAAAAAATTTAAAATTAAAACATCTTCCGTTAGTAAACTCCCAAAAGTGTTTAAAACAGACGCTAATTCACGAGAATCAATCTCCCCGCTCCCATCTCTATAAGAATGAAGGTGTAGATATAAATGACTAAATAAATTAATACCACCAAGAAAAGGATACCTGTCAAATAACTCAAAAACTTTTTGTATTTCCTCTGTAGAATAATTTGTTTCACTAACGTTTTCATCACAATATTTCATAAAAGTGGTAAAATCGAGCCCTTCTATTATAAAAAATTTTTACAAATTAACACTCAACTAAGTATAATAATATAGACTATAAACATAGAAAATGCAATAGCACTTCATCGAATAAGAAAAGCTCTAATAAAACAAACCTTTATAGGAGTCGGCTAACTGCGCGCTTTCTTGCTGTGTAATATTTTGGCCAAGTGCAAAGAGTATGGACTTGAAAGAGTTATGGTCTATTTTATCCGCTTTATAGTAATATAAATACCATTTAAGGGGGGAGGGGAAATTAACAGAAAATTTTAAAATATTTTGTGAAATTACTTAAAAACTATAATAATATCTAATTACGACTTAATTTGCGCTGAAAAAAAAAATGGGAAAATAAGTATATACAACCAACAGGCCACAAAGCCTACATTTCGTAAATAAGTTAAATAGTCTAGAAGCTTCTAACTGGCGATGCTTGAGTATATTATTATTAGAATTGTTTGAAGTTGAACAAGATAACTTGCTTCTACAAGTAGCGAAGTTATATAATTTCTGGCCGTCAAATGAATTCAGTAAGGGAAAAACGGGCGACCATGGTAAGGTATGTTTACAAACTTTCTTTAATACTTCTAAGCTACAAGCACGCCGACAAAGCCCCATCTAAAAGAGGTAAGTTAGGTATTACCTGTGACCAGGCTATTATAATATTTAACTAAAAGTGCTACAGATATAAACAATAATATTTGATACTTAAATGTGAAAATTTTAATAGTTCATTTTCTATATATCTCATTAAATATAAAAAAGAGGGCAAACAATTAGCAAAAAAAAAATTAAGCGAACCTCATAAAGCAAGACTCATAGTACAAAGGAAGTGTGCTTAAAGGATAACTTTTCGGCGTTCCACTTAAAAGCAATCAAAGAAGTGGTTGAGTAGCTTGATTACGCCTGGAAATTACCGTTTGCCTAAATTGGGAAGTTGTAACGAACGCAATTAATCCGATTAAAAAGAGCCATTACATTGAGTATGCTCTTCAACGCTACGATCCCGGTATAGGCAAACTAAAACTGACTTACGTCATCGCTACTAGCGGCTTAACACACAGTTTACAAAATTGCTTAATCTTTTTTAAATGCTAATAAATTTAAGCAATGTTAAGACACTATAAGTCGTGGGATTTACTAAAAATTTTGTGTACAGAACAATTTTTCGTAAAACTTAAGTATGCAAGACCAGAAGACTACTCATTCTCCGGCGAGACGCTAAATGCACTGAGAGTTAAACGCGAAATACTGCGGTTGTATAAAACGCCCTGGAAAATCCTGCCAGTACAATCATAACACTTCATCAAACGGCGGACAACGCTGCGTTGGCAAAATGCCTACGACAGCAACCAACAACATTTACCACATCTCGAAATAATGGTGCCACTTGCAGTTACCCCTCGAAACAACCTCCTGAGCGATTAGTCAACCTGTCAACTGGATATGATAATTCGAACTAACTTTTTGACCCTCTAGCGGATATTATAATGGAATGTCATAGGTATGAGCTGCAAAAAAGCTGCACCCTAAAGCGTGAGCTGTAACGGCACTCTGCAACCAGATAACATAAAACCTTGACCGTCTTGAAGGTTTATGGGGAGCCGTGCGGAAAACCTATTGCTCTTTTAAAATGGTAATGCTTAGACACTGTAAAAATAGGCCTTAGTTTGATTAGCACGAATCCAACAGCAACCCTTGATGAACCGTAACTAACTTTGGTGCTCTGCTGTGACGTATCTCACCGGCCATTTTGGTAAGGTTGCAATGCAAAGACGCTGCTTGGAAAAGCGGAGTCGAGACCAAAATGGTAATACTTCAGAAGTACGCGGACAAATGCGACCTACGCGTGGCATCCAACAACTGGCACACATGGTAAATGTGCACTCTATAAATGCTCGAAATTATCATCTTAAAGGACATACACCCACGACAACAGTCGAGGCTCCAGATAAGCTCTTATCGGAACACAATATCTTCTGGACACAGTGATTCAAGGGCTCCTTTCTATGTAGAGTTATTTGCTATTATTGTTATAGTTTTAAGTTTTATAGAAAAAAACCAGTAAGTTTGCTAAGTTTAGCTCCTGTTCGATAGTTATAATAGGGAAGCTAAGAGAAACTGCTTCTAATTAAATTGTGCGTGTACCCTCCTACCTATTGCCTACACATTTGTTGCTTAAACAAACGACAAATTATCCACGACTGTACTCCTGCAGCCACGGACTATTAAGAAAGTTAAACGCGAAAATGATTATTAATCTTTCTATATTATTAAGAGTAAACAAAAAATAATAGGTAAAACTAAGGTGTAGTCAGGTATTAAAATCATAATTTTTAAAGTATTGGTTGCTGTTAAGTGCGTTCAGAGCTAAAAATGTTAAAGAAGCCTAATAGTGCTGTACATTAATTTTAACAGGTAAAATAAGTAAAACCATCAAACTAGGATCGAGAGATGCCGTGGTAGCTCAGCGGTCAAGGGTATTGACGTACATACTCGAGGTCGTGGGTTCGATTCCCACCGACGCGCGTCGCGTATTTAACGCCCTTATAAATCCTAATAAATTATATTAACGACAATGTCAGTGGGAGTAGATTTTAGAGGTAAGGCAATATGTTAGTTATTATATAAACAGCATGCATATACTGTGAAATCCTTACATAATTAACCCTCCGGGGCAAAAATCATTAACAATGTGATGCGAAGCAATTTAATAAAAATATTCCACGTTTCTTTTTCTATTCTTAAACTAAGAGGGGCTTAAATTTAAACGAAGAACTACGCGACAAAATAAATTGGGTTAACATATTAAAAAAGAAGCTTCAGCAACTGTTTACCTATCACTGGTTAAGTGCGTAATGACACGTCGCAAGACGGCTTTTTTTAAGTTCGGAACGACTAAACTCTTTATACAACTGCCTTTTTTGAACTTGTCAATAGGCGTCTGAAGCACTAGCAGACTTAAGAACTTAAAATATGAAACCCTAAATATGCGCACGCTCTCGGCAGTTCGCAATACTCTTAGAAACCTTCTCTTTTTATTGGTTTACGAGGGTGGAGTGATGAATTCCGGGCCTGAACAGGGAAACAAACATTTTTAAACTACTTTGAATTTATCTTTCAAAATAATCTCTATTTAGCTCGAAGCAATTGTTTTTAAAGGTATTCTTAGGTCGTTATGCCAGACCCATAAGTCGACTTGTGGAGGTTCTCAGGAGAGTCGTTTACAAAGTCGATGACCATTAACGTTCGCAAACCTCTATATACCAAGCCACTTTTTGAGATTTGGAAATATGGAAGTAGCACACGGGGCTAAATCTGGTGAGTAAGTGGGTGAAGAAGCGAATTAAACTTTAATTAATGAATTTTCGTCATTGAGACGTATGAACTAGCACACTGTCTTGAAAAAAAGTTTTTTCTTTTTCCGCGAAATGTGGCCTTCTTTTAAGCTCTTCGTATAATTTGTTCATTAAGTTCTCGTAATACTCCCCATTGATCGTTTTTTTCTTTTGAAGATAACACAAATTTTCCAGTATTCCTAAAAACAGTGGCCATAACCATGCTAGCCCATGCAACTATCTTTACATCCTTTGGAGATGCCTCTCCTTTTGCATTCATTGCTTCAACTGTTGTTAGGAGTATATGATGGACCCAAGTCTTATTGATAGTAATGAACCGACTTAAAAATTCTGTCAGCTTGCGCTTATAGAGTGCCGGACATTTTGTTAAAATTATCCTTTCGACATTGTTTTTGATCAGGTCTCAGCGTGAGCACACGCAGCACTCCTCTTGCCAAAGTTTTTTATGGTCGGATGTTCGTGTAAAATTTTACGTACTCTTTCTGTTGACATCTTACATTCTCCGCTTCTCTCTCACTTTTACTCTGTGGTCGGTCAAAACGATTTTATAAATTTTTTCTATCATCTCTAGCGTAATCACTTCAGTGGGGCCGGACGTTGCGTGGTTGGTCATTGGTGCTAGTCCGACCCATTTCAAATTAATTAACCTAGCGTTTGACTGTCGTATTCGATGGAGTAGAGCTCCTAACTTTATGATACAGATCCTTTTTAAATTCGGTTGCAGTTAAACCTTCTAAATATTTAATGTTCGCCCGAATTTCAAAATATTCCGTTGTACCCAAATTGCTTGAGGCGTTGTTTTAACAGATTGCTATTAAGCCACTAAACGACATATTGAATTGGCATAGTTAAAGTAACCCGATAAAGAATAAAATTAAGCATTGCCTTTATAATATGTATGAATGCACTTACAAGTTAATACAAATACTAATATTGACACCGCTGTGTATGTCCTTACTATAAAATTTATATTTACCACTCATAGTCACTGTATCGAAAGCGACGCCACTTTAAGAGAAAACGGAAACTCATATTATAGTATTAACTCTCTTAATTTGTACTTTAAAAACTATTAATGTTTTTAATTAATTCCCTTAAAAAAAAGTCATTTGAACAATGCTTACATAATATGCACGAGTACATGTTTAACACTATTAACAGGGTGTTTAAGATTATAACCAACTGCTTCTATATATAGAGACGTTAAAGTCTTTGGGATTTTGCTTGGTTCTCTACCTTCATTATACTTGAATAGCCTACTTCCTTTTAAACTTTTTTTGACTGATTACTTAAGCGCTTTTATTCGTGCTATTAATGCGATACAATCTTTTTCATGACTGTAAGATTAAATTTATGTCATTTTTCATTAAAACTATATTGATTTAGTTGACAGGCACTTAAACATTATTTACAAACCTATCTAACAACTTATATATACTAATATTAATATTAATAATAATATAATCTATACCTATTAATTAATAATTACTTATTACGGGTTGATTTATAAATAAAAGGGACTGATATGGACTATACGCAAAGATGTATTTATATAATATCATTTTTTATAAAAAGGTAGTGCACGTTTAAAAGTAAATATAATAATTGATGATCCACCGCAGTCCTTTGACGTCCATTTTTAGCGTGATGGAAAATTATCAACAAGTAAACTATAGATAAATACAAAGGGTAAAAATTGATATATTAAATTGGTACAAAAAATCATTCACTATTCCACAAATTAAGCGACTCTGCTCAATACTAGGCGTTAACTAAGTGTGTGCTCTAGGTAAAAGACTTTGCAGTTGCTAATCGATTTGAACTTTGTAACCTTTGCCAAAATTTATTTATAGTTTTTTAGCGCGCAAATTACTGCACTTATACGTATTATGTTACAACTTAATTCTTGCGCAGCTCAATCTCTAGAATAGCAATTCAATAGAAAAGATTGGGATAACCGATTCCTTTAAAAATTATTAATTAAAGCACAGTTTTATCGAAAGAGCTACGCGGAGGGTGCACACAAAAATAACGCTAGTAAAAAAGATTTTCCTCAACGGACAATTTAGTATTGGTGTTTTCCCCTCCTTGCAAAGGATTAACTAAAGTAACCCCCAGATTAACACTTACGTAATAAACTTACTTGAGATGAACACAAATGTAGTATTTTCGGTATATGGTGGTACTTATTTTCTCAATTTAGATCTGATGGTAAGTAAATTTTTTTATTTGTTGTTTTTAAACGAAAAACTTTCCTACATGTGACTTAGAGATTTATTACTTTATTTAGGTATAAGCCTACTACAAACTAAGTACTCAAGATACTGCAAAAACAATTTTTAAAAATTGTAACATTAATTTTTGGAAATTTTAATAATTTGAGTAACCACGTTTGTTGCTAAGGAGATTTATAGACAACCTCTATAATTTTTATCTAACAAGAAAGAGTGACCTCTTATAAAGCGAAATATTCCTGGACTAAAAGTCAAATTAATTAACAAACAATAATCTAAAAAATTCCGGACATCTCTCTAAGGTCTTTTTTAAAATTATAATTTTTACTTGTACACTAAAAGCCAATCGATGATTAAGGGGAGCCCAGTAATGTTGCTACATTCTTCTATTAATAGAATATTGTTTTAGCCAATATTATATTTAATTCAACCTTTGCCTTAATAACCTGAAGACTTGGTGAAGGTTTTAAGAATTTTATGATTTATCTTTTAAAAGTTAGAATAGAGCGCCGCATCATTGCAAAGAAAATCTTTGGTTCATATTGTAGTCATAGGTTAACTTAACTTGGCAACTCTATAATATTACATAATGGTTTAAACTAAAATGTGATCTAAACCACTAGTACAAAGTAGGTAGCATGTTTATAATACCTTCCCGATGAAAAAACTTTATCGCTAAAAGATTACATAATGGTTTAAAATAAAATGTGATCTAAAACCACTAGTACGTAGATAGCATGTTAATATTACATTACCGATGCAAAAACTTTATCGCTGAAATAAAGAAAGTGAATTCCTTTGTATAAAAAACAGTTTTTAGACTTTTTTAAATCTTTTTAAAATTTATATAAAACAATTACCTTTTGATTGGCGCCTATGACAAGAAAGTGCTTAAGCCATGTGACTTAAAAACCTTCGTTCACAAATGACCGGGAGCACAAGAAAACCTTTTTATTTCACACATGGTGCTTCTTGTTTTATCTACAGGAGATTTGCTCCACTCTTCAGGGTCTAGTACTTAGCTTATACTAACTTTAATCTGTATCCTTTTTTTAATTTTTTATTAACCCCTTACCTGCAGTCCTCTGCTTTGCTCAGATCCGAAGCAAGAATTAATAACCAGTTTATCTCGTACTTTTCAAAGTCAAAAGCGTATTGAACATGTTGACAGCATTAAACAAGTATATTATTCAAATAGCTTAATAAGTTTAGTCTTGGACGATCCATGTAGCGTTGTAGGTAAGTCGTTTATTGCTATTTTTTTTAACAATACTAATTTCTTTCAGTTAGACCATAAAAATACCTGTGTTAACTTAGTATTAAATTGTATATACTATTTATATACTTCCTATTTATAATCATTTTTTACGCTTTTATAGCAATAAAATTGTTTTTAAAAAAAATGGAATCACGAAACTTTTTTAACTGCTTGGAGGGGTATAACTAAAGAATTAAATGTTAGTCGTCTTCGTTGGTTTTCTGTGGCATTATCTGAAGTAGCCTCCATGACTAAAGAAATGTGGGAGGTACGTAAAATTTGAAAATAGCTTTTTTTGAGTTATGGTAAAACTTTTATGTCCATAGTTTTTATTTTCTCTTAAGGCCAAAAATGTTATTGAACAACTGGGTGCTTGCGAATTAACTGTGGAGGATCTAGAACAAATCTACTCTTGGACTGGCGTATTAATTGAAGCCTTATTATTTTTTTTATCCTTTCTATTTTATTTTTTTATCAGCAATTTCCCTCCTTTGTTCAAGTTACTCTCCACATCGAAGGCCTTTCTTGCCCTTTGCTGTCGTTTTTAAAAGAACACAACATTAAAATTATGAGCAACCATGATGCAACTTGTATATCTTTATTTACTACCTTTTATTTTTATATATTATGTACCATTTTAGGTTTTATACCTGATGAAGTTATTTCAAGCATTATTAATAAATTTATGCCTGAAGATCTACCGACAGACCAACTATGGACGATGTCTGCACTCGTGCGTTACTCCACTCATATCGACTGTCAGAGCGTATTGAGCTCTAAGGGATACATAGTATATGTGGAACCCGTTAGTCTTTAAACCTGTTTTCGCTTAAGGAGTTCTTTTTCGGCTCTGAAACTAATAAGCAAAGCGTAAGTTCGTCCCAAATGCCAACTATCAATCTTTACTGAAAGATTTAATTAACCATCTTAATATTTGTGAAAAATTTAACAAATAAAGAGTGTTATATAACATATCTGTTTCGAATGTTTAAGGTTTCTTCTTAAGTTACAGAGCATCATATACTATATAAAATGAAAGATTAAAATTTACTTTTTAGTTAAACTTTACATATGTTTTTACTACCGAAGGAGAAGGAAAGGTGTGTGGGATCAGTTAATATATTATCTCTATTTTCCTTATAAATATATAAACTGTTGTGTTACTGGTTTTTTACTAACCCCAATTACTTAGAAGTCACTAATAAACAAAATTTTCAGCTATATTATAAATCTATTCGATATACTCGAAATTTACACGTTAAAAAATGGTATATTATCAAGAAAGATTACTGAATTTAGAGTGTTGTCCCGTCCACCGCCATCTAGTGCTGCTATATCCATTAACTAAAATTTATAACTAGTAGATGAATATTATTATAAAAATAAGTATTAAAATACATTAATAAAAAAAAGAATTTGAAGAATGGTATGGTAACTAATATTTTGAATGGTTTTTCGAATCGTTTTTAGTATAAATATATCATGGAGCTCACAAATAAAAGCAATAGCTCACGCTTTATAAGGTTATTTCTTATTCACGTAATTTTTTTTAGTTCATATTTTTTTTCATACTTTTTAATTAAATATTTTTTAATAAATTTGAAAACGTTATAAGCACAAGAGTATTACACAACATAAATCAGGAACACCACCAGATTTTATGTAGTTTACAAACATATACTAGTGATCTGGAAGGGAAAATTTTTACTAGTGCCTTAACTAAGACAGTGACTCTGATAGAGTGGTTATGATTATCATTGGTCTACAGTACTTATGCTTGATGAAAACAGTTAGGGCAGCCTGGATCAGATAATTTGCAGAAAATAAAAAAATCAGCCTGGGTATACCTACAGATCATGAATAGAACACATGATATTAGGGAACCGCATACCTGAACTCGAACTACAGAAACCCAAAGACGTCATCCGAAATGTGAAAAACGCTTTTAAAAAAATCTATAGCCATATTCATGACTAATATAGTGTATTTTATAACAAGGAAGAAGATGAAAGTATACAACAATTTAAAAAAACTTCATCTCGCCATTCAATTTGTCGGGCACTGTACTGTCAAATAGCTGAACTTGCTGAAGTCTTTAAAGTAATTGCACTCGTATATAGCTCTGGAGATGATTTTAGGTACGACAAAATCTCTCTAGACCAGCCTTCCAGCAACTATCCAGAGGGAATAGATTACAAATATGCCTTCAGTGCACTACTTAAAGCTAATAGATACAATTAAATACCTTCTAAAGTATTACAAGGCAACTTCACCAGCTAAAATTTTCTATACAAGTATTTAAAAAGGAAAATTAAAATATTAAGATGGTGCGCATGCGTTGAACAAGGAACATTAGCCCGGGCCCACGCATTAACGAACAATGTACACATTGCAATTGAATTGGACATATCGAGAGCGCCTGTCTAAGGGAAAAAAATAACGTAATAATCAAAATTTTATAAACCGCGGAGGAATCCTATTTACCACTGTTCCCAAGAATACAGCTCAGTGTATGCCTAGTGAATGTAGTATACAGACCTTATGCAATATAACCAGATACATCTTAAAGCAATCATGATTACCTTCAAATATTGGAGTGAAGCTTTCAGGGATGCTGTTTTTTATTTTTTATATATAACATTTCCATAGCAATGCTCTTACACCTACCGAGTTCTATGGCCTTAAAACTACTCAAAAAAATATTTGCCCTTAAGTTGCCAAATTTATTTTTTCATCACAATTACAGAACAAAATCTCAAGATACAGTAACGGAGGGAATCCTACTTCCTTAACCAACAGATTCAACAGATGATGGATATGCTATCCTAAATTCTAGTACCAATAAAATAATTCGGTCGAGGGCTGATATCTGTTATGAAAACACATTTCTGTACAAAAACAATCAACCTGGAACTGGCAATATTGGACTAAAAATTTTTACCCCCATCTTGTTAGTACATCAAACGTTTACCCATTACCAACGAATATCAGTAATGTTATTGATTTTGAGACTAAGCCAAAAATATAGAATCTAAAACACAGCAAGTTCTATCTGTTCCCACTTTAAAGATGTACAGTATCTCCCTACTTCCAAAATATCAGAGCTCCTAGGCTATACCATAACCACCTCAGATCCCTTTTTTTCTCTTCTCAATCCTTATATGCAATCACAAATTCAAATGAAAATCTCTTCTAATACCAATGTCTAATTTAACTATAAAAATTGTACCTAAAACTAAATACATAAGCCAAATAAAAAAAAAAGTTGATCTAGAAGATAAGCGAAATTCTGATGTAAATATCGTAACACCTCTAGAATGCTTCATAATTTTTACCAAGGTTAGAGTTTTACGATAGAGATTTCGATAACAAAATAAAACACCTCAGAATCTAATCCACAAAAATTGTCTCTTGAACAAATACTAGATAAAGTTTTGTCTGAAGCTAATAAAAGAAATTTTAGGTTTTTTGAATATAACATAGATAATGTTAAGAAGAATAAAGAGGAAAACTTAGCAATAACCTATCTTTTTTTCAATGAAGCAAAAAATTTGGAAAACAAAACACAATATATGATGCCTCCACGAATTAACTTAACTCGCTATTTATGCTAAAAGGATTTAATATTACCATTGACAAAGTCCCTTCGAATGAAAGAATTTTATCCACACCCTGGCTACTTTACAGAAAGAAAAGTAATAACAGCATAAGGCAATACTAACAGCAATAGGTTATCAACGAATAGCTGGTATTGATTACTATGTAATTTATTCTCCAGTTTTATCTGAAGAGTGTTCTTTCATTTACTACTCAACATTGCAATTCAAAATAACAATTAATTATTACTATATCATTATATATGAAAAATCAGTTAATTTGATATTGCTAATCTTGTCTGGTTAGTTATAAACAGCTGCCTATACAACTGCTTTTTTTGCATACTAAACTTAAAGAACCAGTATACTCCTAAATGCCCCAAGGCATGTATTTAATTAAAAAATTCACTAAACTCAGAATAAAGACGATTACTAGATGGACTTTACTCTAAAGACGTCAAGTGTGTTCTAAATATGAACGTAACAGGTTAATGTTTTAGAAGAATCAGCTAGACTTTTTTTTCTTGACCTCTAGACGAGTACAAAATATGGCTATAAACAAAGTGTGTTAAATCTAGTATATTTTTTTACTGGAAAATTTCGATGTTATTGTTGGTATAGAAGTGGGTGATTGCATTACTTTGTGATGGGCTGACAATTTTTTTTAACAATATGCGCCAAGAATGCGAAATTAAGGGCCATTCAGTTGGATAAAATTTTAGTAATAGAACTGATGATTAATTTATTTCCCTAGTCAAAATCTTACAATTTAGAAACTTGCAGTTAAATATGGTATAAACACAACCACCAAGTTATATACTCCTATATCTAGATATACGAAACTTAAACGACCTAGCAACGCTGATAACAACAATGAGGATTATAAAACCTCATTGGCTCACTAGGAAACATATCTGACAGCACAAGCCAGATATAGCATATTATGTAACTACATTTTAGGAGGGTTTCTACAAAACAGTAATGAGGAACGTAAACCGCTAAAAGTAACAAGAAAATTACAAAATTAAATTAATAACAAATTCAATTTAAAAAAAAAAGATTTTTATTGGCCGTAATATTAAAAGGATTGGCTCTTCGAATCCATTTTTTAAGTATACAAAAAATTACTATAAAAGGTAATTTTTTTACAAAAAACTTTGATGAAAAAGTGGAAGTTGATTGGTGGTGAAACGAACTTTGATTGTAACTTCGAATCCATTTTGTAGTATAAAAATACCACAAGGCTTTTACGGTAAGAATAGCGGAGAAGGCTCCCCCTGGTGGGAGGCTCATAGTCGGGGAGGCCTGGCTAACAGTGACGCGGGCCAGTACTACTGATTGCTTCGGGCCCCGGGCCTAAGGCCGCCTCTCCCGGTGTTGGTTTTTAGAGGTTTTCCATCACACTAGATTGAACGGCGGAAGTCCCAGCTCGGTATTTACCGCTTTTTCAGTCCTTCGGGGACGTCAAAATATCTCTATAGGGAATATACACTGGCGGCACTCGCCCTCAACCACCATGCTACAGATTCAATACGGGTTAAGCGGTCTTGGACCCCCCGTGTGTCTCCACTGTGATATCACGAAAAAAAATAATAAAATAGAAGAGACAGAGGAGCTTTATTATATTATCTTATCATATTTTTTGCATATCTTTTGTTTACATATTTTCTTTTTGTATCCTTTTCTATTTTTTTATAAATTCTAATAAAAAGAGCTTTAACTTAACTCTACCAAACAAGACGTATGAAGCTTATAATCGACAATCTTTTAACTAGTAAAATTGTTATTCTACTCTTCTTGGGCCAATAATTATAATTATCATACTGCAATGGGTTATATAATCTTTCTAAACGATAATTCATTACAATGGGAAACTAAAATTTATAGAAGCTTTATAAATACGCCTTCCTGTGAAGCTGAGTATATAGCTCTTAGTAACGCTATAACCAATACTATAGCCATAAAAAGTTTTTAAAAGAATTGCTCCCTGACCGCCTATAATAGTACAAATTTATACAGCCATGTCGTCTGTAATGAATATTTTTAGTAGAAATGCGTCATCAAAAAGATTACGTCATATTTATATTCATATCTTTCGGTTAAACAAGTCTGTAAAGCAAAGAACTATTATGTAAAACCTATTATGTCCGGAACAAACATAGCTGATATTTTCACCAAAGCACTCTCCTTCCAAAGCAGTACTTTTTTCAAACAATATTTTAACTTAATTAGGATAGTACGAGGTTATAACAAAATTTTAAACCAATGAAAATTTAAAGCATATTATTAAAAAAAAGTATTTAATTCAAGATCCAATAAACTATGTTTAATGAATTAATCATACTTTAGATTATTTAATGATATATTAAAAACTTAAAAGAA